ACACACACACACACACACACACACACACACACACACAAACTTCTGTGATGTGCAGGTTATATGTGTCACTACACTTAGAGATGCTCAGACCCTAAGCAGTCTAGACAATGTTACATGCTTCTTTGATGACCTCCTACTTTAATTCTTTAGAATAACAAACTGGGTAAGAGTTTGAGTACTCGATGGAGATGATTGACTAAAAATGCTATTATAAGACATTTACATGTATTTCAGAGATAATATGACTGTCATGCTGAAATACTATGTGTGGCTCTTAATCTCAAGTTTTCTCTGTAAACTATGTAACTGTTGTTTGTTAACATTCTGTAAGGACTTTATTACAAAAAAATCATTATTGGTAAGAAATAACAGTTCTCTGGCTATACTTTTATTTTAAAGTGTTTGATATTCAGATGAGATTAACTCACCGCTCCCTCTGCAAAACAGTGATGTAACTGATTGTCTCTTTTGGGTGTTCAACAACTGAAGTTTAGGGACTAAACTTTCTAGTTTAACTAGAAACTGGATTTCTTAAGAAGATAACCAATATTTTGGCTTTGGCCCTCCAACATGAATGAGGACCGAAGACATGAGGGAACATTCTCTGTACGATCCTACTACTTTGCTGAGTCACCCAACCTCCTGAGCAGGGAGATTGTTTCACCTCAGAGGATAAGAATTAACAAATATACCATGTGCCAAAAGAGGGTCAAAAAAAGGGGAAAAGTCTCCTAAGCTTTTACAGAAAGCAACATGGTCAAGTAACACTGTGACCCATCCTGGTGGCTGACACTGACAATCAGCTGAGAGACTGTACATGATTCTAAAAGTAATGCCTGAGGAGGCTTAAATGACCTTGATAGGTAGCAAGAGGTTAATTTGGGGAAGGGGATGGGATGACAGGGTCTTGTTATGTAGTTCAGGTTGGCCTTAAACTCACTAGGTAGCTCAAACTGGCCTTGAACTCAAGATCTTCCTGTCTCTGCCTCCCAAGTGCGGAGATTACAGGTGTGCACCACCATGCCTGGCTGCAAATTAATTTTAATTAACAGGTCTCACTTTAACTTGGTCTTAAACACCGAGCAGAAAAGTATAACCAAAATATGTATAAAAACTATACTATAAGCCAGGGAGATGGCTCAGTGGAATAAGCGCTTCCCTGGCAAGCACAAGGGCCTGAGTTCAATCCCAGTTCCACAAAAAAAAAAAAAAAAAAAAAAAAATGTACTGAGCCATCTCCCTGGCCTCCACAACAAAAACTATACTATAGTAATAAAAGCTACATATAAAAAGAAACTCTTACCCCTTCTGGCAATTTCCAGCTATACTAGTATATGACAAATGCTATGATTCATTAGGGTAGGAAAAACTACAGTGTATGAAAACTTAAGAGTCTTTAAATTTCTTCTCTCCATCTTCTTACAGCTAAAACTAGGATGCCTTAAGACAAGAAATATAACCTCCATCAGTAGAGAGACCTAAGAGCCAATTGGGTAAAACTGCTATTCTAGTCCCTTAAGAGCAGTTTCTGAACATGGCTCTTTCCCCAAACTGCCTTCCCATTCTAGTGCTCATGCTTTGATTATACATGCTTTAATTTCTTGGAAGAATTGTTTACACCTGCCTAGAGACTGCCAAATGCCAAGTGATCATGCAGTTGGGACCAACACAAATGTGGCTGACTCCTTTTACTAGGATCCATTGGACTGACCCTGAAAGGGGAGCTCATAATGGCTGGAGTGCAACATGACTTCTAGCCAAGGCCCTAGAAAGTAGGTCATCAGTAGCAGGTCTCTGGAAAAAGGCCCTGGCCATGATCCTCCCTGTACAAACCCTTCTCAGCTTTAAGCAGTTAGATGGAAATTATGCCCCTTTTCTCCTAACCAAAGTTAGGGATACCTCTTGGGGTTGAGGGTACTATAGACAGCTAAGTTAAGTAGAATTTTTTTTTTTTTTTTTTTTGAGATGGCTGTATATCAATATGTAGTTCCCAAGTGCTGGGATTACAGGTGTGCACCACCATGCCTGGTCTCACTCACTTTAACTTGGTCTTAAACACCCAGCAGAAAAGTATAACCAAAATATGTATGAAAACTATACTACAGTAATAAAAGCTACATATAAAAAGGAACTCCTACCCCTTCTGGGAAAAGGAATGGGACTCACTATGAGTCTGATCTAGTAGTGAGATCCTGAATACCCTGTAGACCCTTTCCTAAAAATAAAAAAAAAAAAAACCCTTAAAGACAACGTTAATGATGTGATCCATATGCCCTTGCTACTACTGAGCCAACATTACTTAAGTGACTATACTTGTGATCTTATTTGTTCATCATAATTTTGCCCCCACATTGTACCCACCTTGTGACTTTGCTCTATAAAGCTTCCTCTGAGAAGTGAGCTCATTGGAAACCCATTAAGGACCTCTCCTGTCTCTCCAGAGCTATTCCTATTTCCCATTCCTTTTCTCAAATAAATTTCCCTACTTTAACAACAACAACAAAAAAAAAAATCCTCTTTTAGATTCACAAGTCTGGGATGACTTGCTAACCCTTTGATCTTTGATAAGATTCTCACAAATCACCTTCAGAACTTTTCAAGATGAATGAACTGTCCTAGTGTCTATCTGCCTGAGACTCTGGTATCATTCCCATAAAAGATGCTGTATAGAGGATTTTCTGCCGAGTTCCGGGAGCCCCCAGACCCAGTCCTAGCCCAGGTCCGGAGTTTCTGACCACTTCCGGGAACCCCCAGACCCAGTCCTAGCCCAGGTCTGCAGCAGGAAGGAGCTGAGCACAGCAGCCAGACCTAAGCCAGACGCAGC